CTAATTGATAAAGTAACTACCCACTATTTTATCAGTGCTCAATATGTGTGCAATATCAAACAGTACCTATCAACAGCACCTGGAGTTAACTAATCCCAGGCCCTCTGAGGTGTATTATGGATAATATTTGGAATGACAGCTCCACCCAATCTTTCATTTTCTCAAGACAGCAGGACAAAGTAACTCAACCATTTGGTCTGTGTTACCTAATAGGATTAATGAATTATATTTGCCTATTTCTGAGGTTGACTGCTTTAGAAGTATTTGATACACCTCCACCTATAGCCAGAAGTCTGTTACATATTTCTTACTTACAAATAACACATTCTTTTGAATCATACTCTTTCAGTGTCAGCTGTGCTTTCATAGAATCCCATTTTTGGAACCATGAAAGCTGCTTTCATAAAGGTCTACCTATCTCAAAATAATAAAGAAATATGAAGCTAAACATATGTAAGTTCATAGCGGTAACTCCCCTCAGGAAAATTCAAAATAGGAATTGCTAGAGAGATTGTCCCAGAGAGCAGAACTGAGTGAAAGGAGTGATTTTATAAAATGGCGAATAAAGCATCTGATAAGACATCATTACTATCACTAATGTCGTTTGCTAATATTGAGTTATAGGCTTGTCTGGATTATTTGATATTTTACATCATGTAGACGATTTACTTTGCTTAATTTTCTTTACTTTAATTGAAGTAATAAAGATGCTGACTTACCTGGAAATACTGGGACTCAGAAGTACAAGCAGCATTTCAGATTATTTCCCACTTATCCCATTTTCTAAATGAGAAAATTAAGGCATAGACCACCTCAAACTCTTGTTGCCCACGGAAAACTACAGCAGTAGGTGTACCATCAGCCTCAGAGGTGCACAGTACAATGTGCCTTTCCTGACTGCAGAAAGCTCAGTGACTGACACCCCCCAGCACTGTGTTCCAAGTCCACCACAGAGCTGGTGCTCAGCCAGGAGTCCCATACTCAGAAAGGGGATCACTGCCAGGAGTCTCAGGTCTCCACTGACTTGGACTGGAGCTCTTCCTGGGGCCTTGGCAATCATTTGTTAGAACTGTACTGCACCTAAAACACCTCCTACTCAAAGGCATTTCCTCCTCTCTTTCTTTCATGGAGACCATCCCAAAGTCAAAACTCTCCTAGCCTCCACTAGCTTCCTCATTTTGCCTGACAAGGTTTTTTTACACCTAATAAATATCCCACACACTTAATTTCACCCTAAACTCAGATTGTCAGGAGAGCCAGATGAACACAACATCCATTCTTAACTTATTTCTAGTCTTCAGCCTATGTCCTTCCCTTCTCCTCCCCAGGGACGGCCCAACAACAGATCTCTGATGTCAAGACTCCTGTCTTCTCTGGGACTCCTTGCATTCCTGCTTGGAATACTTCTTTCTTCTTGGTATTGTTCTTAGTACTCTCTCTCCCTCCCTTCCTCCCTCCGTGCCTCTCTCTCTCTCTCTCTCTCTCTCTCTCTGTCTCTCTCTCTGTCTCTCTCTGTCTCTCTCTGTCTCTCTCTCT